CAGACAGGGGAGAGGGGGACCAAAGCCTCGGAGGACGCCCACAGCGGGACAGCCGCGGAGCGCCTGGGCTGTCCCGCTGCGGGCGTCCTCCGAGGCTTTGCTCCCCGTCTCCCTGGTCTGACCAGCAGACCAGGGAGATGGGGAGCAGCTTTTCTCGCCCTGGAGGACGCGGGCAGCGGGACCGCGGCTCATCTGGGCGTCCCGCCACTCCCATCCTCTGGGGCGAGAAAAGCCCCGTTCGTAACTGCGGATCCAACATAAGTCGGATCCACGTAACTCGGGGACTGCCTGTACTTAAATATAACTACAAAAATAAAAAAAAGACAAAAAAAGCAGGAACATAAGAACTACCAGTGTGGTCAGACCAATGATCCATCTAACCAAGTATGCTGCCAACAGAGGTCAATGTCAGGTGCTTTAGAAAGAATGATCAGAACAGGCAGTTATCAAACTACCCTTCCGCTGCTGTCACTCTCAGGTTCCCAGGAGTGATACTAGCTGCCTTATGGAAGTACAATTTCTGAACTGGACAACAGGCACGAGTATGTATAAACTAAGTCATGGCTTTGTTTTCATGCCTTTTATGAGGCCATGCAAGAAAGAACATAAAAAACTCTCTGAAAGCCCTAAAACACATCCCAGCTCGTTATGAATTTCCCAAAACATCTAGGATACTCTGAAGCACCACTGTATCCTCATATATCACCACACAAGGCCATGATAGTGAAATATATTAAACTGCATCTGGATTTAATAAGAGTTATGGTGCATTATAGAAGAGCATGCAAAGAAGTCACTTGTATTATGCAAACCAAGCAAGTAGCTGCAGAAAGAAAGGGGGAAAATTTACCTCATAAAAGGGAAAGGATAGCACATCAGTGGGAACATTTTTTTGGCTGTAGGTGCTGTTGAGTAGTTGAATGTTTTTATTGTTGACACAGATAACAGCCAGATCAAACTGTTGCACATTCAAAATCTTCTGAAGGGTTTCTATACTTCTGCGAAGTGGGATGCGCCTGAGGGGTATGATTTTCTGCAGATTGCGAATGATTAAACTCATTTTACTGGAAGCTATTCAAAAGGTGGTTGGAGGGGGCCCTGCCAATTAATTTGAAATATTAGGCACTGATCGTAACTAACAATCCAGTAGCAGATACCAGACACTACTGTTGCTTGACGGTCCGGGCAAACGTAGATACACACATGACGGAGAGCAGCGGCACGGTAAGGTAAGGAACTTGTACACCCTAGCGCCAGTCCGCTGAAGCGTTCA